TTTTTTTTACCAAACAAAAATTCAATTATTTGACAGGGTCTTTAATCAGGAACAAATTCAGAATTTAAACTTTAAGGGATGCAATACAAGTAACTTTTCGTTGAAAATAAGTATTGCAAAATTTTAAATTTTAATTTATACCAACACAAAAAAGTGAATAATATTAGTATTAATTGAATATTCTTTATCCAGATAATTGATGATAAAAATACAATCAGTCATATTTTTATTTTTATTTTACATTAACTTAACAAAAATCTTAACTATTATTATGTCTACTCTCTCTCTATTAAACTTAATTTTTTTTCCGAACTTAAGAATTTACTAGTGAAATGTAGAGAAAAAATGGAGAAAATGCAAAGAAAGGTTGTGGGCCACATATATGATTTCTAGGAGGAGAGACTTGCTTAATGCTTTTTTTCTTTTTTCTTTTTTTTTTTGTTTATTGGTAACTGCTTTGTCACTACTCTCCGTATATTAAAGTTAATTATCTGAAAATATTTTTTTAAAAAAAAATCAAACCTGAGAATTTGCTAGTGAAATGTAGAGAAATGCTGAGAAATTACAAAGAAAGATTATGGGCCACAAATAAAATAGACACCATTGCTATGATTTTTAGGGGAGAGACATGCTTAATGTTTTTTTCACTACTTTTTTTTTTCGTACTTGTTTATTGGTAATTGCTTTATTACTACTTTCTTATTTCCATGTGAGACCCACCATTATAATTCACTTCCACTCTATTTTCACACTCCATAATTCACTTTCATCCTATTTTCACTCTCCATAGTGATGTTATGTTTGTGAACATCAAGAAGCATAATGGTTAATTACAAAAATAATCGCAAAATTTTATGCGTTTTTTATTTTAAATTTTGATGTTTTAATTTTGACAAATTAAACTCTTAAGTTCTATCCGTATTTCAATGTGTCCCTTCCGTCCATCTCCATCTATATAAAGTAATAGAAAATAATTTTAAGGTTTAAAGTGAAAAATACTGATATTTAAAATAAAAAATGAGTGAAACCTTAGAGTTTTTTTTGTAATTAACCCTAATAAATCTTATTGTATATATATGTGTGTGTTTGTATATATGATCATATTTTTTAGAAAAATGTTTGGGGGCCCTAATTCTGTGGCTCAAATGTGGCTCAAATGGCCAAAACGACGTCGTTTTGGCCATTTTGATGTTGTTTTGTACTCAAAACGACGTCGTTTTGGCCATTTTGATGTTGTTTTGTACTCAAAACGACGTCGTTTTGGCCATTTTGATGTTGTTTTGTACTCAAAACGACGTCGTTTTGGCCATTTTGATGTTGTTTTGTACTCAAAACGACGTCGTTTTGGCCATTTTGATGTTGTTTTGTACTCAAAACGACGTCGTTTTGGCCATTTTGATGTTGTTTTGTACTCAAAACGACGTCGTTTTGGCCATTTTGATGTTGTTTTGTACTCAAAACGACGTCGTTTTGGCCATTTTACAACATCAAAATGGCCAAAACGACGTCGTTTTGGCCATTTGAGCCACATTTGAGCCACAGAATTAGGGCCCCCAAACATTTTTCTAAAAAATATGATCATATATACAAACACACACATATATATACAATAAGATTTATTAGGGTTAATTACAAAAAAAACTCTAAGGTTTCACTCATTTTTTATTTTAAATATCAGTATTTTTCACTTTAAATCTTAAAATTATTTTTTGTTACTTTACACAGACGGAGATGGACGGAAGGGACACATTGAAATACGGATAGAACTCTAGAGTTTAATTTATCAAAATTAAAACACCAAAATTTAAAATAAAAAAACGTGTAAAATTTTGAGATTATTTTTGTAATTAACCATTATGCTTTTTGATGTTCACAAACATGAATTATAATAGTGGGTCTCACATGGGAAAAAGAAAGTAGTGATAAATCCATTTTGGCAACTCGATTTAAAGTTTTTTTTTTTTTGTCACATCATCTCTTTACTTTTTATATATTTTTTCAAAAAACTGTAAAAAAAAGTAAGAAAAATTAACTTTTAAACTGCTTTAAAAAAAAAGAAAAGAAAAGAAAAAAGCGTTAAGTAAGTCTTTTCCCTAGAAATCATAGCAATGGTGTTTATTGTATTTGTGACCCATAATCTTTCTTTGTAGTTTTACAGTCATTTCTCAACATTTCACTACCAAATTTTTAAGTTCAAAAAAATATATATATTATATTTTTTAGATAATTAACTTTAATATAGGAAAAGTAGTGACAAAACAATTACCAATAAACCAAAAAACAAAAAAGTAATAAAAAAAAAGCATTAAACAAGTCCCTTTCTCAAAAACGTAACAATGATATCTATTTTATGTGTGGTCCATAACCTTCTTTTTTTTCTTTCTTCTTTTTTCTTTTTTCTTTTTTCTTTTTGTTTTCATTTTTTGCAGTTTCTCAATCATTTCTCTACATTTCACTAGCAAATTCTCAAGTTTGGAAAAAAATCTATATTTCAAAATAATTAACTTTAATAGAAGGAGGGTAGACATAATAATAATTAATATTTTTGTTAAGTTAATGTAAAAAAAAATGTCTAATTATATTTTTGGTTTCAATTATGTTGATAAAAAACATTCAATTAATACTAATATTATTCACTTTTTTGTCTTGATATAAATTTAAATTTAAATTTTTACAATACTTATTTTCGACAAAAAGTTACTTGTATTTTTATCTCCTAAAGTTTAAATTATGGATTTGTTCCTTATTAAATATCTTGTAAATAATTGGACCTTTTTAACATTTTTGTTTGGTAAAAAATAGGAAAATTGGAACTTGATATGAAAATTTTGTTTAATAAACTGTTTGTGATAATTACTTTTGGGAATAAGAACAATCCTTTCCTTTTTTTTTATAGTGAAATTAAAAGATCCTTTCAATAAAAAAATGTGTAAACATTCACACTTTCTTATTTTGAAAATACAAAATCATTTGATAAAAAATTGTGAATTTTGACACTTTTTTCCACAAAGATTAATATGAAACTCATCTACAAAAATTCCATAGAGAGAGAGGGAGGGGAGAAACATTTCATTCACAAAAAATGAGTGGTATGAGAAAAGCCTCGTGCAGACCAAACAAAAGCCATTACTCATTACAATATGAAAATAAACATGCGCAAATTTTAATCATTAGTTTTTATAGTTTGGTTTTGTTGTCATTTTGATCTCTGTAATTTTAATTAATTCAATTTCAATCTTAAATTTTTTTATTATTTCAATTTAAACTAATTGACTGCAATGATTAAGTTTTTTTTATAAAAAAAATTATGAAAAGTGTGTACATAAGTAGTAAGTAGCTTGTGTTATCCTAATTGGCCACCGTGCCTTCCATAGGGTTTAGTTCTAAAAAGGTTATAGGTTCAATTCCTCTTAGGAGGGTTGAATTAAGGGACTACAAGCACTTAGGTGCTTTGCCAATGGTGGGGAGATTTTCTCCTATATATGCTAATCTAACAACTAACAACTAACATTTGCCGGTAAAAAAAAAAAAAAACTAGCAGGTGTTATGCTTTTAAGAACAAAATTATGAATTTTCTTAAGTGAGTCAATCTCAATCATCTCATTAATGATTTTACTTCAAAAACACTAATTGACGTTATTAATTGAATCAAATTAATATAAAATTTAAAATTAAAGTCAATACAAAAATGTGAGAATCAAAATGATATATAAGACAAAATACAAAAACTCTCAATTTAATTTACCCAATAAACATTACCACTTTTCCTATCTTGATTCTAGGAAAGATCCAAGGCTACAGATTGGCAAGTTATCAACTTGCAACCTAAGACAAGAAAATACAACAAACAACAAAATGAAATTAAGGCCCAAAAGAAACACACATAAAAAATAAATAAATAAAAAGCTATGGTGAAAAAGAATATTTTTTTATGATTTTCAGGTAAATCTTCAGAAAAATAATAAGAAATAAAAAATTTAGCCCTCAATCTATATTGAAGAGTGTTGTTTAGGCTCATAGAATTCGCTACAAGTTTCATTATGATAATCTAAACTATTCTTTTCTTTTTTCTTTTTTTTTTAAATTTTTTTTCCATTATTTAGTATTTTTAGAGTACTACTCTACATTATTTATGTTAGACTATTTGTCCAATATACCTTCTTAAACAAGGCCTAATAAACTCCTTATGATGTATTTGATTGGGAAATTTGGGAAATAACTTGGAAAGAAAAAAGAAAGGTAAGTTAAACATGAATAAAATATATCTACATTTTATCTAATTTCACAGACCTTTTTTTCTTTTTATATCCCTTTCTAAATTCTCCAATCAAACACAATGTTAAACTATGACTATTTGCACTGTCTCTCTAAATTTTAAATCTCAAGAGTTAACTACTTCAATGTATTAATTTATTACGTTTAAAACATCCCGTTAGAATATTGATAGGGATTTTTTTTAAAAAAAATTAAATTATGTGTAAAACATATGACTTATTTATTATTTTTTAAGATAATAATACATTTATTTGGTGATCTCATTCACACTTTGTCTCATTTATCTTAGTGGCAAAATACAAACAAATCAAAAAATAAAAACACTATTATCTTAAAATTTTAATAAGTGTGCTATATACTTTACACATGACTTAGTTGTATGTACATCTCTAATAAAATCATAACGAAAAAGAATTAAGTGTAACAGGATAATATTTAAAGGACTTAACTGTTAAGTTTTAAAGTTTAGAGGCTAAGTTCAAATGAGTCATAGACGCTGTTTGGGAAGATGAATTTTTTTTTTTTTTTACTAAAAGACAAATTGGTTACAAAACTAAAAAAAACAAATCCAAACAAAATATCACATTAAAACCCATAATTATTTTACTTTTTCTCTCACAAATATCACATCCAACCACAAAAAAATCCAACTATCTTTCCAAATACAATTTTTTTTTTCTCCAATATTATCCTACAACTAAAAAAACCTATAAAAAAAAATTCACCTTCCAAATACCCACATAGTTTAGTTGAGCAAATTTGCAAAGTATGTAATAGGTAATGCTACAATGAATAAGTTGGTGTTTGGCATGCAGTTAGAATTTTTTTTTTTTCTTTTTTTTCAATTTTACTGTCTGTAGTAATTTTTTTATAAATTATATTTAAATTTTTACTTTTTTAAGTCCGCCTTATGTAGATAAATTTAGAAAGTAAAACAAAAAAATGAAAAAATAAATTCAAACAAAGTACTACAAAAACAAACCAAAAATAAATCAAAATAAATTTATGTACTTTCTAGATTTTTTTTCAAAATTATTTAAAGTTTTTTATTTTTTTTCAATCTGTCTAGTCGAGTAAAACTAAAAAATATAAAGTTTTATGAAAACTTTTAAAACAAAATCACTAAAAATGAAAAAAAAAAGACAATAAAAAAAGACAATAAAAAAAGTCACTAAAAATATCATTTAAGTGGAAACAAATTAATGAATTTTTTTGTAACTTTGGAAGATAATTTCATGAACTTTTTTTATGAAATTGCTATTATTTTTACAAGGTATTACTGAAATTGCTATTATTTTTACAAGGTATTACTGATATGTTATTTTTTCCAAAAAATAATAAGAAATTTACTATTCAGTGAGTATTTTGAAACGATAATGCTACGTAACTCAAATTTTGTGACTCAAATGGCCAAAACAACGTCGTTTGAGTACAGAACAACATAAAAATGGCCAAAACGACGTCGTTTTGGCCATTTGAGCCACAAAATTTGAACTACTACACAATTTCCATTTTGAAAAATTATTACACAATAATATAATAATTTATAATTTTAATTATTAATATTTATAAAATTTATTATTTTTTCTGACACAACACTGGTGTGTAATTGTTCAAAAATAATCCAAACACCATCGAAGCACAATTTGATAGATGCACGCGCTTTATTGACGCGTGGGGTAGAGTTTGAAAGAATCAGGTGACAACTAGAAGTGAACAATTTCAAGTAACTTCACTGAATGAAAACAGGCTTGGGGCCCCCAACCCAGATCCTAGGGCTCGTTTGGTAAGGAGAAGAATCCATCAATTGTTTTTTTTGGAGAAATTAACAGTGGTATTTCTAAAAAAATTATTATAATTTCATGATAAAAATTAGTGTATTTTGTGTAATTAATATTTATAAAATTTATTACTTATTGTAATTTTTTTAGAATTTAGCCTGAATTGAAATTTCCTCATTGTTTTTTGAAATGATTTTGTTGTATTCTTTACACAATAATAAAAGTCAAAATACATAATTGAACTTATAGCGATCCTGAGTTTTACACCTTTATGTACAGTGTTCCGGTCTTAGGTTCTGTAGTATTGACTGTTGTTATATCTTGTTTCCGTCCTTCAATACTTTGTATTTGAGTTATAGAGTGTTTTGGGCAGGGTTGTTACAGGTTGGTTGAACCCTGGTCCCATTCCTTGTTGTCCAGACTTTTGGTGGTCCGCTCGAGCAGAGTTGTTTTTGTTGATGGTCCGTTTGAGCGGGTTTCTTTGCGCTCGAGCGGAGTTTGCATACTTCCAGCATTTCGTGCCTCTGCAAAAGTACTGCAGTTGTGTTTTTAGCGCTCGAACGGATTCCTTTGCGCTCGAGCGGGCCTCTTGGAGCTCGAGCGAGTAGCCCTTGTTTGTAAAAGTACTGGGAGATGGTAATCTGCGCTCGAGCGGACTTCCTTTCACGCTCGAGTGGGTGTGTTTTGCAGTTGTGTCTTGGCGCTCGAGAGGGTCCAAATTTGTGTGCTTGACGCTCGAGCGTCCTGTTCTCCGCTCGAGCGGGAGAGTCGTATATCAGTTGGCAGCTGGGTGATTTTAAATCACTTTTCACATTTCCTTTCTCTCTCTTACTTTTCTAGAAACCCTTTGTGAGAGCTTCTCTCACTACTTTCTCCCTTCTCTCTAGGGATTGATCTAGTAGGAGTGATTCTTTACCCTTCGGCCTTTGTAAAAAGTGTGTTGATCGTTGAGGGTTACATTTTGATCCGAAAATTTGTTGGTTTGGAGCATTTCAAGATTTCTCCATCATCTCCTTTGGGCTTCATCTTGAGGTAGGGATTCCTACTCATCTTTATGAACTTTAACCTAAATGTTGGGATTTTGTTTAAATGGTTTGATTTGGGAAGTTAGAGTTTTGAAATGTGCTATTTTGAAAAGAGAGGTTTTGTTTATTTGACTCATCTATAATTGTTTTGGGTCTAAATTTGAGATTGTTGATGTTGTTAGTAATATTTTGACTTTTGGGTCAATATTGAGAAAAATGGAGAAAATGCCATGTTTGGGTATATTTGGGTTATTAGTGTAATTAATGGCTTTTGTTGTGGAAATATGAAATCGAGTTGAATATAATGAAATTGGCTCATGATGAGATAGAACAGTGGAGTTGGATTATATTAATCATTCACCTTTTAAAATAATGACAATTTATCTGTTATTGCAATTATTACCTATTTAGAAATAATTATTTTGGGCTACCGGTGGAGGGTAGTCTTGATTGTTGTAGACAATGCATGATGATTAGGCAAACTAAAACTAATCAATTGAGTATGCTATTGAATATGGCGGTTGGCATAATACATCAAAATTTTGTATTGATTGATTGAATTTGTATATGATAATTGCTTATATACATTGTATTGTGTGGGAGGAGAATGGGGTTGTACTCCACGGTTTATTGAAAGAATGGAGCTGGACCCCTAAACCGGATTTTTGTTTGACATTGATACAGCACTACAATGTGTATCATTTGTGAAATAGAAGTGTTTTGTTTGATATTGATACAACACTACAATGTGTATCATCTGTGAAGTATAGAAGTGTTTTTGTTTGATATTGATACAACACTACAATGTGTATCATTTGTGAAATAGAAGTATTTTTGTTTGATATTGATGCAGCACTAAAATGTGTATCATTTGTGATGTATGGAAGTGTTTTGTCCGAGATTGATACAGTACTAAAATGTGTATCTATTATGAAGTATGAAATGTTTAAAATGAGTTATTAACTCACCTGAATTAGAAGCACTGTTGGTAAAAGACGTGATCTCACTTAAATTGGTTGGCTAGGTTCTAAACCTTAGTTATGAAATGAGAATTTGATAAGAAATGGAAACTGGAATAGGACACGATCATATGAATCATGGAATTGAAATGTATTATAAGTTATCGTGTATGAGTTGAACATTTATCAATGGTTAACGTTTTAGTTATTGTTCATACTATATTTAGCATATCTCTACTGGGCGTTGGCTCACCCTATATGGGATTTCATTTTCAGGTTCAAGTATTATGTCGCCTCCGAGATCTTAGCTTGAATGGTTGTGGGAGTTGAAGACTCTTCTTTTGTTAATTTGTTGTATTACATGTATATCAAGCCAAGTGTTTATTCTGTATTCTGAGTTAGTACTCTCTTTTTGTAACCCAAGTTTTGATTTGAAAAGTTGTAAGCCCATACGGCATTTACTTTTGTTGATACTTGTAATACTGTTGTAAGGATATTCTGATGAATGTAATATAATATCTCTTTCATGTATCTTGAATGTATGATATTATGGGTTTATTTTGAGGGCGTTATAGAACTACTCAAGTTTAAAAATGAAATAAAATAATATTAAGATATTATTGGGGTTTCCTAAAATAATTTTTAAGTATTTTTTTATTTTTTGTAATTTTTTTAAATATTTTAATAATTTTTTTAAATCTACTTAATCTAGATACACTTAAAAATATATATAATTTGTAAAAAAATATTTTAAACATTCACTAAATACATTTCCATTTTATTATGTTGTATTTTAAACATTCACTAAATTCATTCAAACTTAGTTCATCTTTAACATTCAAAAAATTGACTAAACTGCAAAAAACAATTTTACTCCAAATAACGAAATATGCAAAAATAAAAAACATAAAAAATTTTAAAACTAAACAAAATGATTTATTTCTTAGAGTCGTATACCTTAACATGATGTAATTTTAGGCTTCGTTTAGTTGTAGTTTGAAAGATAGTTTATTGTTAAAAAAAATAAATCATTTTACTAAAAAATTCTTAACAACAGACTAGTTCTTCATAAAAAAATAAAAATAAAAAATTTATTTAAAGAATATGCCAAATAAATTAATTTTTTGGGCATAAGTTTTTTTAATTTTTTTTTAGTAAATTGTGCGTGTTTGACATCCAACTAATTTATTTTTTTTTAGTAATTTTTAAAAAAAATTATGCTTAAGTTTTTTATTTTTCAAATCCTTTTTTGTGTAGACAAATCTAAAAAACGTAAAAGAAAATTTGAAAAATAAATTACTTGAGAGGAAAAAAGAAAAAAAATTACACATCAGGTGTTATTTTCAAAAATAATTACTACTCATGACAAATTTATAATTTTAATAATTACAATTTATAAAATTTATCATGAATCTGAAAAAATTTTCAATCCCAAGCTAATTGTTTTTGGCCTTTATTGGTCTTCTGAAAAAAAATTTAGGCTCTGTTTGCTAAGTCTCTCAAAATATAATTCTACTCATTGATTTGAGTGTGTTGTTTGTTTAGAACTTTCAAATCATAATTCTATACACATTTCTCAAAACTCAATTCAAAGCATAATCATTACTTTTCAAAACTCATAATCAAACACATAATTCAAAACTCTTTTCAAAATTCAATTCAATTCAAATCAATATTTTAATTTTTTAAATAATTCAAATATTTAAATATTTTAAAAATATTTTAATTTTGTTAAGATTTTAAATATTTTAATATTTAAATATGTTACGATTTTTTTATTTTTTTAATTTTTTGAATATTTTTAAATATTTTAATTTCAAAATATTACGATTTTAATTTTTAAAATTTTAAAATATTTTACAAAAATAAATTCAAACTCTATTTTATAAAAATATTTAAATATTTTAATTTTTTTTGTTATGTATTTGGTTATGATTTGAGTGTAGAGTTGTGAAAGTAGTATGGAGTTTCGAACTA